TTATGTTTTAAGACTTCTATGGTCATTTGATGGAAAATAATCCTGAGAAATGGGGAATGTGAGAAAAACAAGATTGGAAATAGGAGGATGTGTTAGGAAGCTATGGCAGTTGTCCACTAGAAGGTTCAGTAGCTTTGGTGACATTAGTGGCTATTGCAGTGTTAAGAAATCTCTCAATAGATAACTGAGAGTATAGATACCACTAAGCCCTGCATACTGCTTTTTCTATACATATGTATCTATGATAAAATTTAATTTATAAAGATGGCACAGCAAGAGATTAACAACAATAATAATGAAATAGGAGAATTATAATAATAAATGTTAATAACATTGCTAGAATCACTACTTCTGAGCTTTAGGGTCACTACCAAGTAAAATAAGCTTACTTTAGCAAAAGTATTGTGGTACCATGACATTGTGACAACTGAGATGGCCACTAAGTGATTACCAGGTGGGTAGCCTATACAGTGTGGATATGTGGATCAAGGAGATGATTCATGCGCTGGGCAAGATAGTGCTGGATAGGTGTGAGCATTCATCTTACTACTTAGACCAGCACACAATTGAAAACATGATATTTATTTCTGGAGTTTTCCATTTAATATTTTGGATGGTAGTTGATCTTAAGTAACCAAAACTGCAGAAAGCAGAACTGTGGAATAAGAGAGAACTACTGTATGAAGATTCAAGACATAGTTGAAACTGCTAAAATGGATGTAGAGGTATAAAGAATAAAAAGACTAAGGCGTAATGGCCTGGTGTGTGTGTGTGTGTGTGTGTGTGTGTGTGTGTGTGAAAGAGAGAGAGAGAGCTACAGTTCTTTATATGAAACTCTTGGGCCCAGATGTGTTCTGAACTCATAACTTTACAAATTTTAGAAAAGTAATTGGGTACCTATTTCTAAAATTGCCAAATATTTCCATTGGGGCCTGGGGTAGCATCCTCAGTATATCAGTATATGTGTGCAAAAAGTACAGAATTTCACTTAAATATTCAGTAAATAATGACAATATGTGTCCTCTCCTTAGTTCAGGTCATTTTGCTGCCAAATGAGCCATAAACTTTGGGATACTTATTACACATTCAGTTGGACTTAAGAAATAAACAGAGAGCTAGACAGATAAAGCATCAGAGCTGAAAGTTTTGGAATAGTCAATGCATAGTCGTATTTTAAAGTCCCACCGCTTTAAAATGAGATGAGATGAGATAAGAGGAGATCTCCTGGAGATTAAAATTGGTATGAGAGGAGAATCAGGGAAGAGCCTCAGGTACTCCAACACTCCAGTAAGGAAGAAGAGAAGACAGCAGTGAAGACTGAGTAGCGGCCGGTGTTGCTATAGCTTCCTGTAAGCCACAGGAAGACTATTTTTCTATAAAGTGAATGTCAAATGTCAAATGTTGCTGAGAAGTCATGTGCCAGGGACTGAGCATTGGCCAGTGGTTTTGCATTGTGGAGGTCATTAGTAGTCTTGGCAAAATACTCTCAGTTAAATACTCTCAGGCCTCCTCAGAGGCCAAGCTAGGTAGAAGAGTGTGCTGAGGGCTGAGAAGTACACAGAATGTACAGTGGCCTCTAAATCATTTTCTGGAAAGGTAATCTTAAACGTAGGGTGAGAGCTGGGGTGAGGAGTTTGCAGGTAGATATACGTTTGTTTAATGGTGGAAATATTATCAGAGCTTTCTGTTGGGAATATCCATCAGGAGTCTGCAGGAAGTGCAGATGCACTGGGGAGAGAGAGTCAGAAAGAAAGAGGGGCAGAGAGACAGAGAATTGCAGAGAAGACAGAAGTCTGGGCCCATTTACAAGTTGGTCAGTAACAACTTGCTGATAGTCTCTCTGTTTACTTTTATATTCTCAGTGAAATGAAATAAAAGATTATTTGCCGAAAATGAGTAGAGGGAAAGGAGGGTGGCATCTGAGGAGAGAGGAGAAGGTGGATTAATCACTTGAGAGAAGAGTGTCACTGAGGAACTGCATCGGAACTGGCAGGCAGTACTGCCATCCGCCAGCAGTCAGGCCCCTAAGGAGAGATCAGTTCTCTGTGTGCTGCTTCCAGGCAAACTCAGGGCAGGTGTGTGCCATGATTACAGATGGCCAGAGTGTGGGGAGGTTAGAGGGGGGTAGTGGCAATGAGTTGCTGGAATGAGGCACTAGAATCACAGATCTTTTGTTCTTTTCAAAGGCCTGTAATGCTATCATAAACACACATCATGTGTAGACAAGCTTACACAAGAAATAGAATTTGTGAAATGAATATATACAGGCAGCTTCATTTTTTTCCTCAGACTTCTGTGAGCTCCTTTGCATTTCGTTACTAGGTTTTCTCTTCAAAACAGAAGAGGCTGTTAAAAAGTGTGGCCATTCCCGCAAAGAAAACAAAGCTGGCAGTTCTAATTTTAGGATGCTTTTCCTTGACAACAGCCTTTTAAACGTCGCCTATACAACAATAAAAATTGGCTCCAGAAATCAGTGAGACTGTGTTTGGTCAAGGAAATGAAATTCTCTTTGTGGCCCTGAACACACCTAACAAGGCTTTCCTTTCACCATTCTGCTCTTGAGTGACTGGAGCTTGTTGGTGGTGTTGAGGGTGGGAGGTGGCCAGTTTTCATATATGGATCAGGAGCAAGAACACATAAATAGCGTGAAGGACCACGGGGAAGTAGGGCTTGAGCCACAGGATGGAGAGATGGTTGCACTGGTAAGAGTTATTCCCTTCCTCTCCTTGCAGTCACTGTGGCTTCAGTTCACCTTAATCAGACTCCTAAATTCCCTCTGAGAGCCAAATGGTTGTGTGAATCTGTACGTGCTGAGAAAGCAATTAATTGTCACTTCTTGTAAGGATCTTGTCTCCAAGAGTGAAGTTTGCCATGGACACAATCACACACATGAACACACACACACTCACATGAAATACTGATATATAATTGTGTAGCTGTAAATGCAACTGCCATTCAAGAACTGTAAGAATGTGTGGATCAGACATGAAGAGGAGTCATTGACTCTCTTTTGATTTTTATTACTATTAAGGTCGTTGTACATAGAATTTAGGGGATCATGATACTGAAGAATTATGACTTCACTGTAATGGTCACTTGTGGATAGATTTTACATCTACTTTTGGTGTTTAGGAAATTGAATCTGGTTTTGTACAATAAAGGAATATAGAGATGATTAATTGGCTCAAACTGCCACTCATACACTTTGGCTTGGTCCTTAAATAAACATACATTTGACTTCAGTGATACTAATCCTTTATATTGTACAAAACATTTGCTTTCAAAAATTGGTCCTCATTTTATTAAAGTAATAAAATAGTACCATAAAACAATAAAAATAGGCGTTTCCTTCTCCATCCTTTGGTGCTACCCAGATCTGCTTCCTAAAATACCAACTTTCATGTTTTAATTTTTCTTCCTGTGTTTATAATCATATTTTCAAACAATAATTTTGTGTACCTGTTTCAAATGTATTTATTTTAAGCATTATTTACTACTTCATATAACAATAGATGAAACTTTAGCATTTTAAACCTAAATCTAACCACCTTCCTCTTGACTTAGCTTCCTCTTATTACCACTTCAGAGAATCAATATCTTGGTTTTATAGTATTATAAATTAATTGGCTTCATTCTGAGCCAACTATGAAATGTGAATATGTTTCCTGTAGAGTATAGCTCCTTGTGTTTCCTGGAATTAATAAACATCTCATTTAATTGCTAGTTTGTTGGCCTCAGTTACTGCATACCTATCACTAATTCTTTCCAAGTTCACCAAAAGAGTCATAAAACACCCTTCAATATATTTCCTACAATTGAATATTCCTCATGTGCTTCTTTTGGGTCCCACTCTTTCTGGAAGCATTGTTTTTCAAGGATTTATCTTCCATCTCTGTCTGGGACTCTTTGAGGCTCAGCTGGGACCACCTTTGCCTTGATCTGGGAAATCCCTTCAGCACCATCCTGAGCTGGGTCTGCTGCTTCCTGGATCCCCTTGTTGCTGGTGTTACAGCTTGTGTCTAGATGTCCCCTAAAAGGCTCATGCAGCTATAGGTAGGGTTTTTCAAAGGTGGCTGGATCTAGAATGTGTGACACTGGATTGATTCATGGTGGATGCTAGGCTCAAGGGCACTAGGATTAAGGGTGTGAGGGCCAATCACCCTAAGTAGCCTGGATAAAATATAAGGCATAGAAACAGTTGTGGTCATCCCTTGCTTGTTTTTTTCTGCCCACCAACTGCCCACCACTCTGCCTTGGAGCCAGCTGATTACAGATTGAAACCTCTACACACTGTGAGCTAAATAAATCTTTCCTCTCTTAACTTGTGGGTGTTGAGTATTTTGTCTTAGCAATGAGAAAAGTAGCTAAGACACATGGCTTGCTCTCATTTAGGGCATGAGCTTCTCTAATAGTTCCTGACATTGGGAATTATATTTTTACAAGTGCAATCATACATGAAATTATATATATTGTATTTTCACACAGCTTAATTGGCTCTAACATAGTAAGTTTAAAATAATTTTGCTTCAAAATTCTGTGGATATTGGTTTGTTGTGTTTTAATGTTCAAGACTGCTACTAAGATGCCAGTCAGTCCTCAAGGTTTTATATGATATTCTTCCCAACCCCCAGGGTCTAGGAATTTTCCTCACTTTCTTATTCTGAAGTTTCATATTAATAACTTTAGGGTGAGAATTTTTATACCGGGAAATTGGTTGGTTCTTCCAGTCTGGAAATATGCACCTTTCACTTTGGGGAAGGTTTCTTCAGATTTTAATTTGATAACTTCTCTCCTTCTTTATTTCCCCCTGAGATTTGTATCTTGCACTGTGTGGATTAAACTCTCTCTTGCCCATTTTTCAGAATTCAAAACTTTAACATCCATTTTTCAAACTCATATTTTTCTAAGGCCTGACCATGTTCTTACTTTGCCTGATTCTTCCTTGTAGCACTCCACTTTATCAGCATATAATAACAATAAAACTAGTTTTAGTTGATTACCAATTTTTCTTCTGTGTGAATAGCCTTTTTTGGAGTTGCTGTTTTCTCTGTCTTTTTTTTGTGTTGTCTTTCATGTTGGAGCTTTTCCTCAGAGGTCTGGTGACTCTTGACTGTCTTCTCACACTTAAAAGAGATGCTGGAAGCTGGTTGGCACCTGTTGGGAAAGGATAGTGTTTGTTGAAGCTTGCAGTAGAGTAGTAGGCACCCAGTCACTTAATTGGGTGATTACCAAATGCCAGCATCCTCAGATCTTGCTCTGGAGCTATTTATTTTTTGAAAGGAAAATAATCTATTCTCTTGTCTATGATGTTGAAATCCTGTTGGGTCAATTCTGTAATTGAGTGAGGAAAGGAGTTGGGATTAATACCGTTCATTATGTGTTTTTAAGTTATTTTTTGAGCAAAACAATTTATCTTTCTCACCTTGGTGGTTTTAGGTTTTTTTTTTTTTTTTTTTTTTTGTGGTACTGGGGATTGAACTCAGGACCTTGCACTTGTGAGGTGGGCGTGGTGCCACTGAGCTAAATCCCCAGCCTGCACCTTGGTGATTTAATTTCACCAAAAATCGGCATCTGATCTTCCAGTGTGATGTGGGACTGGTGCTTTCATGTATTGAGGAGGAAAAGGAGGAGCTGCCTTCTCGCTACAGACTTTCAGCTAGACTCTTCTTTCAGCCCACTCTGCTCTGACTCCCTGACTTCCGCAGTGTCTGGACCCTCTGTGCTGCCTGTTCTCGTGGACTCTGGGCGTCATTTTTGTGTTTTGCTGTTATTCTTTTCTATATTTCCACTCCTGCATCTATGTTCCAAACTTCCAAAAATGAACTGATTTTTTTAAGTCTTGCCCCCACACACCTTAACCTTCTGAGAAATTTATAACATTTTCATGTTTTTCCTGAGGATGTTAGTGGAGTTTTAGGAAGTAGCAATGATAAATGCAGGAATTTAACTAAACCTGATCAACAAAAGATGGACTCAAGATTTTCAGTAATTTAAAATTTATTCACATTTTCTTTTTCACTTGAGTTGTCTTGAAAACACTGAAGAAAGACCGTGTACTAATCCCATTTATCACAGGTGATCTGCTCACAGGAATTATACTACACAGATTCAGCTCAGGGGATAGGAATTACTCTCTCCAGTATTTCAAACAGAAAGGGTGTAATACAGGTGTTAGTTGCTTACCAGTCATAGGAAGACTTGTAGGAACTGAAAGTCAGGAGCCACCAGTGGACTAGTAAATTGAAAGTGCACCACCAGGGCTGGGTATGGGTGTTAGGAATCCATGTCAGAGCCATAGTATCACTGAATGCCATCACTCCACTGCCTACAAATACCTCTGAAGCCAGAGTCTGGATAAGCAAAGGTGGAACCCAGCCAATACCATGCTCTCATGTCCTTTTTGTCAGCCAAAAGCAGTAGTAGGAAGATAGCTCCTCCTCACTTTCCTTTCCAAGTACTTCGAGACTGCTTTCAATTGGCATTAGCAAATTCACAGTTAGAACCTTAGCTAAGATGGCCGGGAATGAGGAATTTTAGCTTTCAAAACTCTCCAAATCAGTGCCTCAAACTAAAGAATTTAATGTTTCCAAGGAATGTTATTATTCTCTGAGCTGCTGAAGTGCTTGTTCAAATTCTAGTATAAAATAAATTGCAAAAGTTAGTACAGAAAATACTTTTGAATGACAAGTTTGTGTCAGTTAAGGGGTTATTTTTGTTATGCATTGAAAGGAATTGGTAAATATTTTGTTCTATGAATGTCTTTAAGTTTCTGGCAGTGTTTTGCTGTTTGTGGCTCTTACAGCTGTTGTAATAATGAGGATTAGGTTAGCAGAGTAGAGCTTTTATACAATAAAGTGTGGTTGAAAAGCCAACTGGTCCTCTGTCCATTGGTAGTTATCCTAAGAGAACCTGTGGGGACTGACATCCATTCTAAGTCAATGAATTGTTTTTGTAATTTCTCACATAATTACATATGTGAGTAACAAAGGCGGCACTAATGACTTTTTGGCATGTGGCTATCTCTTGTCACAGGATCTCTTTGAGAATCAGAATTAAAAACATGTTTCATGGAATAAAAATAATCATTTAGCATTGTTTTGGAAAATAAAAGTTCATGGCTTACAAAAAGCACATGATAGAAAAGTTGATTCTCCTCTAAATCAAATTCATTCACAAGATGAATATTTTGACCTTGTCTCATGATTGAATTTAAGGTCATAAAGAGAACAGTTCTAATTTGTATGATCATTCTATAAACCTAAGCCATTAACATCAATCACAGACTCAGACTTTTATGATAGAACCTTGTTATTCTTGCAAATTTTAGGTACAGTTTAAATTTGAGAGCCAAAAAGTATAAACAAATCTTCATTTGTCCATCCATAATCCATTCATTTACTCATTCACAAAGACATTCATTCAATAAAACATACTTAATGTAAATGTTACACATTGGCACAATAATTAGATACAAATTAGATACAAATAATTGTAGTACTTGTCCTATCTAGTATGAAACAAGCAGAACAGAATAAGCCTGAGGATTGTAGAGTCAGTACTGGAAATTAATCTGTTGGACAAGGAATCCAGTACCTGTCTAAAGAGACATGGACAGCCATATTGATGTTGGTAAGACTAAGCAGGATGCTAGGAAATGAGCAGACTGGACACCAAAACAAAAACCAAGAAGTGAGGCAGAACATCAGTTCATGGCAATAATGGTAAAGGTCATGGTCACAGAGAGTTATTTCCAGAGAAAAATGGAATTTTATGGGCTGAATATATTCTGGCTCTTAAGCAAGGCATTTAGGGTTGTTGTTGAGCCTCTAAATGTGCAATAGAGAATGAGATTAAGAAGTATGATCAGTCTTTGGTAAGAGCAGTGAGAAATAAAAAACTTGTGGAAGTGGCATTTACCCAGGATCATGAAGGATTTCCTTAAATAGCAATAAGAAAAATGATATTCTAGGAGAAACAAACAGTGTGAGAATATGCAAGATGGTGGAAAATGGCATTCTTTCCCATTAATCCTTTGCTTGAATATTCATTGAACTCCCTTGAAATTTTCATATATCCACTTCCAAGAAAATGCTGCTCCTGGTTAAATTCCACTCTAATCATTTGATGCTTGCATTTATGAGCTGGTTGTGTCTTGAGAAAGCCACATCATCCTACTGCCTGCCTTCTTCCTTAAAGGAGTGACCAGGAACCAAAAGTGTTCCTTATAACATGCCTTATAACCATGGATGATTGCTCCAAACCTTCTCTTCTCCCCTCTCATTCAGACGCCTCCTTTCTCTTTGCTTTCTGTTTCACTGAGCAAAGGAACGACGCAGAAGAGCTCTATCTGGCCAGATCTATAATCCCACTTGTCTCTGCCCACAGGACTCTGCCTTCTCTCTGGTATAGTGAATGTGCGGCCAGTGCCCTGGTCTCGGGCTATTCCCTACTTGTGAACTGAATTATATTGGCACTTGAGGACATCATTTGTAGGATTGCCCCTGGTTTAGCTCACATTTTTCTCCTCTCTAGTGTATGTAAATCTGATCAGCAAAAAATATTATTTCCAGGTTAGAAAAATAAAAATCTATTATTAACTTATATTACCTCCATCAAAGTCAAATTTCCCCTTTAAAGAATTTTCTGTACTCATTTTTCCTTTTTGATCTTTTCTCTTAAATCCATTCTAATAATTTTTATATAGCCTTTTTGTTAAAAATCATCCATAGCATACATATTGCCAAATTAAATGCCCACTTCTCTGTCTGCATCCCTCTCGGCTCATTACAGCATGTGGCATGTGACAGCTTTTTGACAGACTTTCTTCAATGTTGCCAGAATTATATTCTGTTTCTTTGTCTACTTCATTGGCTACGCCATCTTGTTTTTTTGTTGTTGTTGTTGTTGTTTTTTTAACAATTTCTCCTTATTTTCCAACATCTTAAATTTGGAATGTCTCATGACTCAGTTCTCAGGATGGCTGTTTCCGGTTTGTGACCATTCCCCATGTGACAACATTCAGCATCATGGTGTTATATTCCCCCAATCTACTGATTAGTGTCAAATATTTTATCTTCCATCTTGACATCTGCTTACTTCAAAACACACAGATATTCTGATATCTCTGACTTCTCAAAGTTAACATTACAAAATCATACAATTTTCCCCCTGATCCCTCTATAAAACTGTCTCTTCCTATAGATATCTTTTTCTCCATCAATGGTAAATCCGATCTGTCATGATCTTAGACCAGAAGCTTCCAGAAGCTTTAGAGTGATCCTTGACTTCTCTCACAACATCTAGTTCACCAGAATATCCTATGGAATTTGTCTCCAAAATATGTCTAGAATTCAACCACTTCTTACTGCCCCTGATGGAATCTTCCTTGACCAAATCATATCATTTCTCACCTGGAATTCTCCCACGTGTTGGAGCCTGGTGCTGTCTCCCTGCTTTCACTTATGTCCAAGTACCTTTCTTTACAAGGTGTTGAAGTGATTCTGTAAGAAAAGGAAGGTAGATTTGTCACCTCTTTGTTTAAGAACTTCCACTGGCTTTTTAACTCCATGTAAAATCAAAAGTCCTTATGCTTTATGATTTGCACCTTCTCCTCCACCTCCAACTTCATGTCTGTCCACTCTACTCTTACTCATCCCCATCTGCACTGGCTTCCTCCAGACCTAGGGCCTGTGCTCTGCCTGGTGCACTGCTGTCTGAGACACACATGGTGCATCCTTCATTCCTTCTAGGGCTCTATTCAAACGCCACCTCCCAGGAAGGCTTTCTTAGACCATCTTTGATACAGTAGCTCCCCAAATATCAGTCTGTGGCCCTTTATTTTAGTTTTACTTATAGAACCTCTCACTTTTGGACATCTTGTTTATTTGCTTATTGTCTGTCTTCTACTAGAATGCAAACTTCATGAAAGTGGGCACTTTTATTTTTGTTCTGATCATATTTTCTTGAGTTTTCATTGACTGGGTACTTGGGGAACATTTATACATTTCAGTTGTTGAAACACAGTACTGAAGTGTGGATTATATAATTTCTATGAAGGTCAGTTTCATTGCACATTGGCAGACATGGTACAGTATTTTTAATATTTGCTAATTTAGTTGGAAAATATAATTAAATGTTTTAAATTACTTATATATTCAACTTTTCATCTTCGTATCTTATGTATTTATACTTTTTCCAAGCTGATTTTGTGCAAGTATATAGATGTGGCATTATCATTGTTTTAGCAATAGTGTGATCTTAGTATATAAATTAAGTGGGTTAGCATAGTGCAATACACAAATAGAAACCCTTATGACAGAACACTTTTTGGAATAATAAACAGAAAAATCACACTTGCTAAATGAGGTGGCGTCTTAGTTACTTTTCTCGCTGCTGAGACAAAATACCCGACACCCAGTGTTAAAGGAGGAAAGGTTTATTTGGCTCACAGTTTGTAGAGGTTTCAGTCCATAACTAGCTACCAAGGGTGGCTTGGCAGAGGGGCACTGCAGGCGGAAACAGTTCATGGCAGGCAGAAGACAGCAAAGCAAGCAAGCTAGGGACCATAAGTGTCTTTCTGCCCCTTTTATATTGTATCTAGGCTACTGGGATTAGGGTGGCACCAAAATAATCAGTGGACTGATTTAGTCATCACACACTCTTAATCACAGCATCACACACTCTAGATCCAGCCAGCTCTGAAAAAGGCCAACTTATGAGTGTATGAGGATTTGAGGGGACATCTAGACATAAGCCATAACAGTTGGATATCTGAATTTCTATTAACTATATTATTCCCTTTTATCTGTTTCTATCAGATAACTTTATCTGGTTTGTTTGTTTATTTATTTATTTATTTATTTATTTTGAGACAGGGTCTCACTGTATAGTTCAGGCTGGTCTTGAACTTACTGTGTAGTCAGGCTGACTTTGAAGTCATGGCAATCCTCCTGCCTCAGCCTCCCGAGTACTGGGATTACAGGCAGGTGCCACCATGCTTGGCTATCCAGTTTATTTATGAGCAGCTATTTGTGTTTCCCTTGAGTCAATGTATTCGTAAGGTCATAGTTGGGAAGAATCCACTGTTGACTTTGGTAAATTGAACATTGACAGAGGAAAAGATGGAAGCATATTTCAGTGTTGTAAGCATCAGAATGGAACCAAACGGGCTCATGATATTTAATTTTAATTTTTATTTTTTTGGTACTGGGGATCAAACTTACGACCTTCAGCTTAAGAGGCAGACGTAGTGCCACTGAGCTAAATCCCTGATGGGCTCATGATATGTTAATATTGACAAATTCACACATGTGTAAATACCGAATAGTTTTTCTGGTGTGAAAAACTAAAAGTGTAAATAAGGTTCAAATGGTATAACTGATAATGTGAAATAGGAAGAAAAGGTCTAAAGGAGTTAGGGAAATGGGAAGGGTAGGGGAAAGGAAATAAGGGAAAAGAAAAAATATGAGAAAAGGAAAAAATGGAAACAAAGTCTGTAAATAGGGAAGGGTGGAGGGGGTGAAGGGAGGGCAGGGGAAGGGGGAAAAATAAGAACGAAGATACTCATGTAATGGTACAAGATCCCAATGGTGAATGTAACTGTATTGTATACCTAAAATGTACCAATAAACTTAATGAAAAATATATTGACAGACTGAAATTGGTAAATTGTACCCTCACTATAACTTTCTGATTTATTAAAACTTATAAATATGATGAAGATGATTTTGGGAAATTTTCAGAAAAGAAATAGGGTTAATAATAATTGTGAGAATACCTGCATTATGTAAATCTCAAACTATGTGTGTTTTATTAAACTTATACTTTTCTTTAACATTTAAAATCACTCTGATTAGATTTACTTATGATAGAAGAAAACTACAATTGGCAGTGTATTCAGATTCTGATGCATGAATTGAATAATTATTTGCTTTATTCCTGACATTAATTTAATGAACTTCTTTCGAACATATTATGCATGAGCCTTTCTGCTACAGAGTAGCTTTCGTTATAAACTTTCTTAGGAAGTCAGTTTCAAATAAAAGCTTTTGGTTTAGTAATGATGGTTTCAAGGAGCTGTATTAAGGTATAATTTATATATCTTAAAATCCATTCATCAAAAATATAGAATTCAGTGATTTTCAGTAACTTTATAAGATTATGCAACCTTCTGCATCATCTAGTTCTAGTACATTTCTGTTGCCCCCCAAAAGTTTCCTGGTGCTATTTTGCAGTCATGGATCTCTCTCTCCTTACCATCCCACCATCCCAATTCATGTTGGTCTGCTCTCTGTCTCTGTATAGATTTATCTTTTTAAAAATTTCATGCAACTGGAAACATGAAATACGTAGTCTTTAATGGTTTTTTATAGTGTATATTAGAAGTTCATTCCTTTTAATTGCCAAATAATATTTAATTTTGTGGCTATGCCATATTTTGTTTATTCATTCACCAGTTGGTGGGCAGGTTTGTCCCCTATAAATAATGCTGCTATGAACATCCATGTACTTTGTATGGATATACACTTTTTATTCATATGAGTAGATTTCTAGGAGCAGAAGTGTTAGATTCAATGGTGAGTCTACTTTAATTCTTTAAATTACTACTGAACGTCCAAAGCAGCTATTAATATTCTTACCAGCAGTATGTGAAGGCTTCTGCATTCCCCTTTATCACTAGAACCTAGCATGGCAACTTTTAAAACGAGTACCATTCCGGTGCATGGGTAAGTATGTTACATTGTGGTGTTAACTTACATTTCCCTAATTCTGGTGGTGATGAACATCTATTTATGTACTTAGACTTTTTTATTAGTACATGTTGGCAGTATATAATGGTCATATTCATCATAAGGGACTTGTATACATACATAACACATCTTAATTCTTTTTTTGTACCTTTCCCTTTCCATTCCTCCAACCTTTCTCTTCCTCCTCATTTGCGAAAGCTCTATTTCCATTAGTCTTTTGCATAGCTTCTTTGGCAGAATGGCTCTTCAAATCTGTTTCCCATTTAAAAAATGAATTAACTTATTTTCAGTTTTAAGAGTTTTTTAAGTCCTTTACCACATATATCATACATAGATATGTTTCTCCTATTCTGTCACACGTCTTTCACTTTTTTAATGGTATCTTTTGAAGTGCAAAAGTTTTAATTTTAATGAAGTCCAATCTGATATTTTTTCTCTTACGGATTTTCTCATATGGTTCTTAGTGTTTTAATCTTTACCTAATTCGAGGCCAGAAAGATTTTTCATCTATTTTCTACTGTATATTTTCTGTAGTTTTAGCTTTTAATCATGCCTATAGCCTATTTGATTTACTTTTTGTGTATAGGTTGAGGTAAGGATCTAAATTCATGTTTTGATATGAGAATATCCAATTGCCTTGGCAATAATTGTTGAAAAACCATCCATTTTCTACTGATACTTTGTTAAAAATCAGTTGACCCAAAGTATAAGGATTTATTTCTGGTCTTTCAGTTCTGTTCCATTTATCTATACTTCAGTGTATACCAGTAACAATTGCCTGGATTACCATAGCTTGATAGTAAGTTTGAAACCCCACAGTGTAAATCCTCCAACTTTGTTCTTTAAAATTTTTTGTTTGACTGCTCTAACAGTTTTCTAATTCTGTATCAAATTTAAGAACAGATTTGCAACTCCTACAAAAAAGCAAGGTGGAGTTTGATAGATATATTATTGTTTCTGAAGATCCATCCAGGTTATTGCTATGTTAACAATATCAAGTCTTCTTCAGAGGCATTTTTTAATCTTTAATTTCTTGCAGTAATATGAGCATCAATATACAGGTCTTACTCTTTTAGAAATCAAATTTATTGCTAAGAATTTTGTTCTTTTTAAATGATATTTTGAATAGAGTTTTTTTCCTTGTTCTCATTATGAGTTTTTAGTTGCTATTGGAGAGAATTGAATAAAATTGAATTTTTTATATTAATTATGTTTCTTGAAAACTTGCCTTATACATTTATTAGCTTCTATAGGTTGTTCTTTCATAGTTTTAAAAAGAATTTTCTACAGATAGCATCATGTAGTCTGTGAACAAAGACAATCTTCCCTTTTGATTTGTATGTCTATCATTGCTCTTTCTTGCCTTCCCACAATGGATGGCTCCTCCACATGATGATGAACAGGAATGATGCGGGCAGCCACCTTTGCCTTGGGTTCTATTGTGGATGGAGCACATTAGTGTTTCTCTTCCATGCCCTTTAAGTGGGTGCACTTCTTTTCTATTCCTTGTTTGTCGAATTTGTTTTTTACTGTTGAGTACATTTTAGGTTTTGCCAAATGCTTTGTCCCCAGCCTTTATTGGGATGATGATATGCTTTTGTTATTTATTCTACTAATGTAGTATATTGTATTCATTCATTCTCACATTTTCAACTAGTCTTTCCTTCCTGGCATAAATACCACTTGGATATGTTGCACAATCATTTTCCATGTTGTTGGATTTTGTTTGTTAATATTTTGTTGAGACTGTT